GTTAAGGCCACAGCAAACATGGGGATTAGACAAGAACGTAACCCCACCAAGTTCTTTCTTTACTCGGTTCGTAAAATATGCGCTAATCTATCATCATGATCATTCCAAGCCGCACACAACAAAAGCAGACTAGAAAAATCATCATACCGCTATGTAAATTGTAAAACATGGAATTAGTACACAAGTCATTTAGATAAATTAACCTGCATATGGAGGGGGAAAAAATGAACAGAGGCATGATATTTTACTCATGAAAAATCTAGCGGACCATCGATTCCTTCTCCGGTGGTCGGAATGTTGTAGGAGAAGTTGTTAACGGAAGCACCTGATGTTGCTGAACCTCTCTCTGATCCCTCTCTCTGTTCTTGATGAGTCTAAGAAACGATCCATCTCTCTCGTCTATCACCGTTGCTGGGGTCGGAGAATCTTTAACCCCAGATTCTGAAACAGAACCTTGATTGCTTTGTGCCCTTCTGTGAGCTTCTTCAGTCATTCTTCGGTACAGTTTCTCCTCTGCATCTCTCAGGAACTTAAACTTTGGAGGAGGTGAAGATCTAAATCTGTTAATTTCTGGTTCCGACAATGATTCAAAGAGAGGGTTGAATCCTTGGTGCTTGTAAGAATCAAGAGAGTTCGAAGGGGACTTCAACGGTGAAGAAGGCAGAGGCGTGAGAAATGGAGTATCAATTGCCACAATAAGATCACTCAAGCTCCTAGTTCTCGACCCTCTTCTGGATTTCCCATCCTCGGACTCCAAATCCTCCTTAGTCTCCTCCTTAATTGTGAAAAGAAATCTGGGCGGACCAGCGAGATTGTGCAGCCTCATAAGCTCTGATTCTACACTATCTTCTCCTAAGCTCTTCAATACTACATCCTTGTTAGTAGTAGCAACACCCGACTCAACGTCAGTTTCTAGGATCTTCGTTTCTGGGCCTCTGGTGGTAGTTTGCAATGAAGATAGCGTCTTCCAGCACGCCCCGTCAAGCATTCGCTTCGTATAATTGTTGTCATCCTTTCCAATCTCTGCGTGTGTTCTTCTCCTTTTCCGCCACAACAAGTAGTAAAGCTGAGCAATGAGAGCCAGAAGAAGAAAGCCAAACACCACGCTCAGACCAATACCTATCCCACTGAAAGACATCGTCTTTGGTTGCCAGATAATTCACATCTTCATATCAACAACCGAACCACTCATTAAAAAAAGACAACCTGTTTTAGACGAAAACTATGTTCTCCCAGATTTGCAGGTCAAACAAGTCACAGAATTTGCGAGAGAGTATCAAAATTTCTGCGGGATTCCAAGGAAAGTGGGGGTGAGACAGTGAAGTAAAGAGAGGAAGGAGCATCAACCTTCCATTAATGGCAAATCTTTCTCATTTATGAGAGTCACGTCGTAAGGACAGAAATATATTGCCAGAAACACACGCCTAAGAGTGGGGTATTAGTGGGGAGGGGAATTCCTCGGGGACGAGAGGAAAGAGGAAAAGGCCACACATACCTTGTACGCTAAAGATACGAACAACGCGGAAACCCAGAAGCAGAGAGCTTGTGAAGAGCCAATGAAAACCAAAAGCTTAGCTTATAAAGGATGCCATTAAGGAAGTGAAACAGAGTCTGATTTTTTTTTTTTTGGTTGAGAAAACCTGTGAAGTGGAGCTTAAAAGAAAGAGCTGGGGGCGTGGAGATGAGTGTGATAAGGGTCAGAGGCTTGGGGTGTGGGGACACAGCGTGGGGCAACCAAGTCTTGGAGCAATGCGGCTAACAAGTCTATTTGTATGGTTCCGGTATTCCAGAGCATCTTCCTCACATGGGCCTTCTTCTTCTGCCTGAGATTTTCAATTTCCCCTTGTCCAACGGGTTAGCAAATAGCAACGCTGGTAATTTTTAACCTCATGCACACACCCACACATATAACAATATTTTTCCATCAGTTTTACAGGTTCTAAGTTAGTCCTTTGTAAATTTATTTTGGTCTTTAATTTATAAGAAAAATTGTTCTCAACAAATCTCCTATTGATTTATCATTAATGAGTCAAACAATTACATTATTTATTAAAAAAAATGTAAAAATAGGTCATACCCTCGTGAGTTATAAATAATTTGACTCATTTTAACGAAACCCAAATTATAGTTATTACAAAATAGTGGCAAAAACAATATTGAGTGGCAGTAGATATTCTTGTATTCTTACATATGTGTAGTATTAATTAATCTATTTACAATGAATAGGTAGTGAATATGATACTAACAATTATTATATTACCTGCTAGAAAGATTAAATAAAAATTTTGAGATATTAAAAAGCAAATTAAGAATTCGTGAAAAAATAAAAGGGAGACAGGTATTACTTAGAGGAACTAAAAATCAGGTTCAGTTATTTTTGCCCAGAAAACATACCAGTACATGAGGGCTGAGGAGCAGTGAAAAAGATGGAATGATAAAAGAGAGTGACGATAATTAGGATAATTGCATGGGCCACGCGGAGGCGGTTGCAAGTAATAATAACGCGGCTACAGAACAGAACCACAAATACACAACCGGGAGACAGCCATGAAGATTTGGCTGCGCTTTATGCCCTGTGCTGTGATAATAATTATCATTATCAACACATAAAACCTCCTCTTCGAAAATGACTTGTCCTTCTTCGTCTGCGATTAATCCATTCACATGCATGTAGTCATAATAAATCTTCTCACCTTTTTTTTTTTTTCTTTTGCCTGGGACTTTCTAGTGCACTCAAGTCGTTCTCCTTCTTCCTTTTCGGTTTGAAAACCGCAAGCGTTCGTTGTTGATTATTATAGTTGCCGCAAGCTGTAGCAAGAATAAATTGGAAAGAATTACTATAAAGTCTCAAAAAAATAACATAATCACTAAAATGTGTCAATAACATTAGAATAACTTGCAATGACAAATTAAGAAATAACAACTGCTCATTTGTTACTAAGATTGAATAGTATTTATTATTATTTTTTACCTCATTATAATTCCCCCATTAAATTAAGTACTTGCATATTAGTTATTTGAGCTTGTTTATTTATATATATATATAAATTTTAGAATTTTAGAATTTTAGAGTCCAACTTAACCCCTACATTTATTTGTGAAATTAGTATGTGTGTGTAAAAGCCTACTCCGCAGCTTGTGACCTGCCTAGCTAGGATAGGTCCGCTCGCTAAACTAATTGGTCAATGATTGGGTTCAGGATTGGAGAGTCCTCATCAACGTATCAATACATTAATATTAACATGACGCAATACGTCGAATTATTTATAAAATTAATTATGAACCATTTTTAGATTTTGTGCAAGTCATGTGCTATTTATAACATTTGTAACAACTATATTATTTGTAATGCACTTCCTGGCGTTATATATTATTTCGGACCGGAGACTATTAATTACTATATACGAGAGAAGTAGAGTATTAATTATTTTTTAAAAAAATCATCCCTATCAATAACTTCGAACAAGATAGTCAGAATATGGGACAGGAAGTACTAATATTTATATGGTATATCTCTGGTTTTAAATTATAAGCAAATTTAAATTTAAATTTAAAATGAGGGTCAGGCTGCGGGACCACTGCTGTTTGGGATTCCGTATTAAAAAGTCGGGAAAATTCCAGGTGGCCCATCCGAGAGTTTTCTTAAGAAGCCTGTCGTCCGAGAATTAGTGGGCTCCCAAGAATAAGTGGCCCATCTGTTAGAGGAATTGGGCCCACATCATGAAGCGTGACCTTTCTGATATGTGAGCCCACCCACAACGTTTTTTTGGAAAAAAGACGCTTGTCTTGTCATTGATCCGTCAAACGGGAGCAGCATGATTAGTCGGTAAAATATGGTTCACTTGATATTTTAAAAAAACAAAGAGCATGCAAAATTAATTTTTTGGTACAATGTAAATTTATTTTACAGGACAATTTCATCACTCAAATTAATAAACACCAGTTACTTGGGGGTCAAAATTTTATATGAATTGGAAGGCTACATAAAATTTCCAAAACCACAACATTTTATACCTATAAGATATTAAATCGTCACTTATTTTATACAGTATCTAATCATTAAAAGAAATCAGAAAAAACATTTGAAAAATTAGAATATTACAAAATACGTTGGAGGGAATTAGAGAGAAACACATTAAAGGCCTAAAGCCCCGTGAGACGCCATTTACATGCATTTTAAGGAATAATTAGGGTAGAATTAAGATGCTTATACATGTTATAATAATGTAAAGGCAGGCTCTGAGGCTCAAATAATTACAAAACTACTCACAATTATTCATTAATGAAATCCTCTTCCCCCCCGCCCCCATCCATTAATGAAATACTCGTTTAATCACAACGATTGAATATCTTATTTATCCGTCCGAAACTTACAGTTCTCTTGTGATCAACTGATTATGCATAAACAGACCGTGAAGATTTTTTTTTTTTTTTTTTAAAGAAGACCTCAACCTTCTTCTTCCTCGCTTATTAACTCATGCTAGATAATTAAGAGACACGCCATTCCAGCAATCATCTAATCCAGCATCCCAAAAAAATGAACAGATAACGAAAATAATACGAGGGTTTTATAATAATACGAGTAAACAGTGATACAGCATCAACCACAAGACTCAACCATCACATTTTGATCTCGCAATAACTTAGCTAAACACATGGGAGCGCATATTATATAATGTGCCTTCTTAATTTTCTCGCTGTTCTTTTGATCTTTTCCAACAAGGCAAGGGAGTTCGCACGAAACGTTATGATCAAATATTGCTTCCGTTTTCAATGGGTACGAAAAGAATAATACTTTAAATGAGTATGCGCATCATTAGCATTGGCAGCGGCATCCGCCGAAATGACATGAACGCACCAGGTAAATTATATTATATCTAACAAAAACACTGCCAAATTGTACATATTACCATAGTGATTAACTCTCAGAACATGAAATATTAAAACCCACTTCAAAATAGTTGCATCTGAACAAGTATGCTTTCTGCACTGACCCTCAATCACTTTCTATGCACAAACTCCTCTTGGCCTGAAGAAGAAAGAAATTCAAAGAAGGGCTGGTTTCCTGGTGGGCCTTCTTCTTCATCATTGTGATGATGACCCGGGAAAACAGAAGCTGGATTAGCATCAACTGAAAATGAAGCTTTGTTTTCCAGAAAGCCAGTTGGCTGCAGCGGGAAAAGCGCAAGCGTTTCTTTGTTCCTCAAGTGCCCATCATCCAACATCACTGTGTCCTGCATTTGTTGGTACACCTCACAGTTTCTGGGCATCCTCCTGATACCTGACCCTGGCAGAAGCACTTTGGGATGTTGAGCAACAAACCCCATTTCACTGTGTGGCAGATAATATGGCGTGCACAACACTGAAATCAACAAATGAAAAGAAAGCCTTTAACTTGGAACTTGAAGGAACCAAACAAAGGAAAAGTGGCAACATCAGTTGGAAAGAAGCACATTATAGATAATATAATTCGTTTGACAGTATTTCTAATGACCACAATATTTATGCTCAGGATGGTGCGTGATAAGAAAATTAGTATGTTTTTCATAACATGAACTATATTCATCTGGATTTCCAAAAAAAAAAACATGTATCTCTATATATAAATATAAATATACATATATATGCACACGCGCGCGCGCACACAGCGCAGTCTCTAAATCAGTTGACAATGAATTGGCCAAGCAAAAGAAGAAGGTTCTTTAAACTTGTTCGTTTCCCAATAACGATGTTTAATTTTACATGTGAATTTGAATTAATAAAGAGATATATGGAGTGCATTTGCATGAAGAAGAGAAAAGAGAGAGGAATGCGTGGGTGCGTGAAGCAGAAAATGGTGAAGAATAACGAGAGGTAAATAAGAACAGTGAGAGCGAACCATTAGGGCAGAGTGAGGAAGGGAGGAGAGGCGGATGGTGAGGGGAGGAATGAAGAAAGCGATTGAAGTAAGCAAAGGTTTCTTGCTTCTGCTTCTGTCGCTGCCTGGCTTTGTGATTCTGAAACCAGTAGAAGACATTCTTGCCTTCGATGTGACCAAACGCCCTAAGCCTAGCAGTTATTTGCTGTATCTGCTCAGCACTGGGGGTCCTTATGCCTTGCTTATACAGATTCTCCAACATGCTTATCTGCTCTTTCGTAGGGTTCCATCGCGAACCCCCTCCTCCATTGCTCCCAGTACTCGACCCATTATTCTCACTGCCCTCCATCGCTCTACCCTGCTCACTCCTACTAATAATGGTCACGTATGCCTCTTGGGTTTTGGAATGTGAGTGCTATACTCGCATTTTATAGAGTGATAGTATGATGAAAAGGAGAGAAAGGAGTCAGATGAAATTGCTAGAGAGGGAGAGGGAGGGAGGATTAACATGCGTATTGTTTTTGGTGCACAACATCTCTGAAAACATGGTGGTTAGCGGCTGAGATGTGAATACTGAATAGAGAGAGAGAGTAGGCGTGGGTTTCGTCGTCTTCGTTTGAAGAATATTTACGAGAAGACAATAATTGCTGAAAGGGCCAGTAACTCCCCCGGTAGAATGAACGACGGTGAATAAGGCTGTGTGACTCTCTTGTTTCTAAGCTCATAATGTGTTGTGTCTCGGGAATGACAGAGCCAGAGAGAGAAGAACGTAGGTTACGCCATTGAAGGAAAGAAAGGGCAGAACAGTAAAACGACGGTGCGGGGGGAAAGACAGACGGTTGGGTTGTAAGGTGTAGGGCGAGGAGTAGGCTTTTGGGAATTGAAGTGATGGCAGATAGGCTCAGAGAGGGGGGAGAGAGAGAGAGAGAGAGATTGATTTTAAAGCGTAATAGCTAGGCTGGCTCATCCCACCCAACGAGCGTTATCTCTCCGCATTTGATTCTGCTTTTGACTTTTCACTCCAGAGATTTTCATGGCAATTGGCCCAGAAAAACAACACCGTAGATGTAGTATCTTTATTAGCCCAAACAAGTCCGGGATTCGTCATCTGATAAAAATAATCAAAATCTAGATATCTAGAAACAAAATTGGAAAATAAGATGGTTTAAGTGGTGTTTGAGTTAAAAACAAATCATAATTTTATTAAAAATAATTTTACAACATCCAAAATATATAAGCGAAGTTTTGTCTTGCGTTACGTAAAAATATTTTTTTAAGTGATTTTGAATATCTAAACACCCTCTTAATAAAATGGGAAAATCCTCCATGTAAATTTAAAAGAACAAATATTAATTAATTACAGTATAGATGATGGCACAAAAACTCCTGTAGCACCCAAGAATTCTTCTCACAAATGATGACGAGTTTTGAATGGAAGCGAAGTGATTCGGTATCTTTGAGAAAGATGTATTTCAATTTTTTGTTAAAAAATATATCAAGCGAGTCGATGTAACTTGAGTCTTGACACTGTTTGAGTATAAATTAATCAATAATACCAAATATCATATCACATCTCCGTGAATTGATTGAAATTAAGGTTCATTTTTTTGTATCGTCCTTCCATCTCGACATGTCTTATTTTTTTTAAGCCCTCACAATACGTGGTCTAATAGTACGAAAGACTTATTGTAAACGGGATTCGAATCCATATGTTATCTTCTACGAGTAAGGGTGTATTTGGATGAAACCAAACCATGGTTTGGAGAATAGCTTCTGGAGAATAGATTCTGAAAAAAATAGATTTTGAGAAGAATAGATTTTGTGAAAAAGTGATTTTGAGAAGTGTGAGTGTTTGGATAGTTATTATTAGAAGTACTTTTTATATATACAAATTGGCATAAATTAATATGATAATTATAGAAAAAAATATATTTTATGATATATTTTAATTTGAAGGAATAAAATTGTTAATAATATATTTTTTATTAACATATATAATATATAAGATAATATAATTAATAAATAATTAATATATATATTTATAAGATATAAGATTAAATATGTTTATAAAAAAAAAGATACATATCCTATAAGCTCTCACACTCTTCCTTTTTTCTCCAAAAGTAAAAAATTTCTGCTTTTCCCAAAACCATGGTTTTGATTTTTTTAAGGGTGTTTGTCTAACATTTTTCCCAAACCATGGTTTGGGTCCCAAAACCATGGTTTGGGTCCCAAAACCATGGTTTGAGGTGCTTGCCAAACACACCCTAAATTGAAAAAACAAATTCAAAAGCGAAGCCATCCTTAAAAGAAGGAAAGCAAAACGGACAACAAGGGTGTAGCAGAGGCCTCGCAGCGCGACTCAGTGAAGTCGTAGCTAGAGATACAGCAAATCAATCCAAAGCACAAACAAAAGGAGGAGAAACCTAGAAATACCCAGGTAAAGCTTCAACCTTCAGGCTCCAGAGCATGCAAAAATATAGGGGTCAAGACACAAGAAGAAGCAATATAAACACACCTCCAAAACAGAAGAGAAAAATTACTAAAAGCAATATCTATACTGTGCATGTGATGTAGAAAGATGAGTGGTCAGTGAGATAAGACACCCCAGGAAAAATGCAAATACTGCTATAATCAAACACCCAGTTGGAGTTAGACAAGGGTTAAATGGGCTATTACATATTCCTCCGGTCTGTTATATATAACATAATTATTAAGTTAATTTTGATCTTAAATATAAGACATATTTTTTATGTTTATTAATTTTTTCTAAATTATCCCCATAAATACTAAGAAAAGATATTAAGAAAGATGATTATGGTATTTTAGAAAAAATATATCGTATTTCTTATGATTAACTAATTTATCTAACTTACTTAATTTAATCAAATTAGTTAAATATATCTTATATTCAGAAGTATAAAAAGCATGTGCATGCCAGACAAAGTGACAGAAATAGAGACTAGGATAAAAGCATGCAGTGATAGGTGTGTGTGATATTCATGCGAGATAATGGGACTTTTGTGCTGATCGATCTGAAGATGTGAATGAGTTGGATGTGGCCTCCAAGTAATTAAATTAAATGGGGATGAGTTGATTGCAGCGCTACGTCGTCGTCGTGTTGCGGAATTGCACAAAAGAGGACGATTGAGGTGCCGCCACTTCTGATTCTCAGCGCCAGCCTCGTGAAGCCAAGGAGTGGAAAAAGATGCACCAATCCCTCCGCCCTCTTCTGCTACTTTTCCTGCACAGAATTCGACGCACATTGGTGAAATGAAACCATCCATGCATGATCTCTGCTTTCAATTCAATCTCAACCAAAATCTCAGAGAGAGAGAGAGAGAGAGAGACGCAGGACAAAAAATATTGCTTGCAATGTAATACGACAGAAGATCCCATGCATGCTCATACGTGTATCTCGATGAGCCCTCCAACTTGGATTTACCTTTTCTCCATTCTTCTCCCAATACGACAATGCGTTACCTGGACTGCTTTGCCAGGACCAATATTAATCCCTCTTCATTTAGCCTCTGATTACATTCAGATTTAAATACTGATATATTCCTGTTTATTGGTCACATCGCGTAAATACCTTGTTAGGACTGTCTTCTACACAATTTCTCCTCTTCGTGCTCTACAATATGCAAATAAAAGGTTTATTATTTGCTTATCTTATATAATGTCTGGAAATAGCGACCAGTGACAATTTTATAGACTTCAAAAATGGAATTGGTTGGGAGCAGAGGATGGTCAGCTGGATAAATAATGTGAAAACAAAACTAATTGGTGTGAAATGGATCCTCCCCAGCCGGTGCATCATGCAGCACGAGAGAAAAAGACGAGGAGGGAAGTCTTGTGGCGTCTCGGTGGCCAGACTATATTAAACAATTAGCATGAGTGACTTTATGACCGTAGAAACTGTAAAAGAAAACAGTATATCACGTTAGATCCTGATCAACTGGATAATAAATCCTTGGCTACTGTCAATTCAAGGTTGGATAAGGCTAGAAGTTTGTCAACACCCAACAATAGGAGAAAATTATTATGAAATATGAAAATTTATACACTATTTCTTAACATTTGAAGTTTATTAAAAAACATGAACTTTTTAAAAACAAATAAAGTTGCACCAACCCGATAGTGTGACAGATTGTTTTTGTTTGTTTATAAAGGGTAGCACACGTACGATTTGGAAAAAGAAAAGCCAGCGTCTGTAAGTAACAGTGCAATTATTTTTATATTATTAATATAACGTAGATGTGCTCCTCAAATGGCTTAAATTTCGGGGAGAGAAAGAAGACACCATTGTGGGGCAAGAGGGCTTGATGATACGCACTGGACCACTGGCGGACGCGAATGTCTGGAAGTGGAGCCCAAGGGTCTCCAGCCGCCCAGGAACCCAAACCAACAATTTTATTCCCCATATGTCTATTTATTTCCAAATTATATGACGCATTCATAATCATGACATAACAGGCCCATAAAATGGAATGAGTGTCATGGGTCCAACTGTCCAGCCTTCAGCAGATGGACAGACACTAGCACTCCACGGGCACAGCTTCTCCAGTCCTGGGTACTTGCGTTCTTGAGGAAACAACTATATCAACTATTTTCTATTTAACCAGATGCTCTACATTCATATATTTGTGTGCAAATAGATAATACTCTTCCGGCTTATGGGTCAAGGAATTTTTTCCCCCTAAAATATAGGTATTCTCTTATTAAAAACAATCATATTCAAGGCACTCGGACACTAAATATAGACACCTCTCATTGCGGGGATTCAAACCTTCGTTCATATGTTGTGATAAACTAGCCCCTTCCGCTAGACCCAATCTCTATTGGTAGGTCAAGGAATATTATATGTACTCAAACACGAAACCGTTGATGTCAATTCGTTATAACATGATTCAGGAAGGGACAAATATTGGAACATTTAAATTTTACTGTGTTTTTCGGATGCGAGAAGCAAAATGTTATCAATGCAAACGTAACATAAGATAGTTGTGTATCTATAACTATATGCTTGTATGGTTCGAATGCATTTTGTTGTATTGTTGTATTTTTAGCTGCGACAATTAATCTAAAAACAAAGCATTGAATCACATTATTCGCAATCCTATTTAGATGTAGGCAAATAAAAAATCCTATTTGGATAGATTACCTGGCAGAGTACCTGGGGGTACATTGGCCAAAAATGGCGACAGATACACACCCTTCGCAAGGGACAAGTGGGCCAGTAATGCACAGGCGAGGCCAGTTCTTTCGGAGCTGGTACTCAATTATAAGGATTGTATGTTTACGGTGGAAAATTGACCAAGTCCACTAAACAACTTCAGAGTAAAGCCG